ACTAGATACAGGTCTCCAATTAGACTCTGCCTCATTGAGAGAAATCTCCTGCCCCATCAGGAGAAATCTAGTCAGGTTACCAAGGAACTCCTCCAAACACAGCGCTTTGTGATTGAAACTGGGTTCATCATTGCACACAGCTTGTAACTGAGTTACTATTGGGGACTGCTGTTGCCTGTAGCAAGTTACATAGATGTTCTTGTACATAAAAAGTTCATGCCTGTTGCTTTGCTGCTGTGGGAGGATAACATTAGCAAGGAGGTTTTGGTGTGTGAGAAGGATGCACACCTCCTTCCTTTCCAGCTGGATAAAGGCAGAGCATTAGTGTAAGAATTATTAAGCAGGTTGAGTTCTTCCTCAGAAGAGAAGGAAGTTTGATGCAATTGCCACACCTCACCACTCTGTTTTGTGAGTTTACACATTACTTTACATTCTGAGTATTTATTTCCTGACTACTGTTGGTTTTACTGGATGTCATATAAATTTGCAGGGAGCATAGCACTCACTGACTGAAAACTTGACTCAGGTGCAGTCTGGACCCATCTTCATAACCATCCTACTTTTATAGTCATGTTGGACTCATTCAGTCTGTCTCTCTAGGCCAAAGAATAAATATTAAATCATTAAGGCTTAAAACAAATTTTATGGAACCAGCTTTTTCTGTGTATATCTCAGTTTAGCTCCTAGAATGAGAGATACTGAAGAACAGCAGGTATCTCATATTTCATGCAATTTTTCTAATAGTCAGCATAGGTGAATTTCAGTTTTGAAGTTCATAACCTTTTAACTAATCTTTCATTTATCGATAAGACTGTTAGCTCTATTTTTTTTTTGTCTCCCAAACTAAGAAGATTTTAATAATGTGTTGCAATTTCTTAAAATAATTATCTTTCAGGGGTTGTACAACACTTGCGAAATGGACAACTATTACGAGAAATTTATATAAACAAGCATAAACTGCTTCTGAGTGACTGGACAGCAAAACAGCTCTATTTGGAGACAACAGGAAAAAGTCGAACACTGCAGAGTGCCTTGGCACTGCTCTATGCTTTTTTGCCAGACTTTGACTGGAAGAAAATTAATATGAGGCAACAGTGGAGCACCATTTTTTGCTCTGGAAGCTGCGACTGTCCTATGCGGAACCACTACCTAGAAGAGGAACAGCGCAGACAGTACAGTTTACGAGTGAAAAACAATGATTTGGAGAAAATATATGTGGATATGGCAAAGCTTGTTGGCATTCCCACCAGGCAGTTGAGAGCTTCTAACCCAATAGATTCTCTCTTGTGCTATTTTTGCCACAATGTCAGTTTTCCGTGTACCAAAACTGGCTGCATTGGTATGGAGCACTTCAAAGTAATCAAAAGACATCAGTTGGAGGATGAGAGAGAAAGACAGGAAAAGAAACTTTATTTCTTGTATTCACTATTGGCTACTCATCCTCTCCTCAACCAGACTATTAATCGGCTGCAGCGTATTGCAGAAGGCAAGAAAGAAGAAATATTTGTTCTTTACTCTGCACATGATGTCACGTTGTCACCTGTTCTTAGTGCCTTGGGCATTACAGAGGCCAGATTTCCTAGATTTGCTGCCAGATTAGTTTTTGAGCTGTGGCAGGATGGGAAGAGACCCAAAGAACACTTTATCCGCATCCTGTATAATGGCGCTGATGTCACATTCCAGACCTCATTTTGTAAGGATTATTATAAACGTTCCAGCAAGCCAATGTGCCCACTAGAAAAATTCGTCAACTTTGTCAAGAGGGATATGTTCTTAGTTTTTAACAGCACTAGTTACCATGATGCATGTCATAGAAGACCACTGTAGAGAAGGAAAGTGAAAAGGAAGCAATGTTAACTTGTGTATCAGTGAAAATCTGTATTCTGGTTGAGGTGCAGTTCAGCTTTGTTATTTCTTGTACTTGTACGTGCAAGTACAAACGGATATTGCTTGAAACATTCTTCAAATAGTTTTATTTTCATTCACACTGCAGATGGTCTCCAGTAGAAGAACAAATACTGAGGGAGCGTTATGTATATGTGTATGCTCACATATGCTGTGCTAACTCTAATGAAATGATAAATCACATGGACTACTGTAACCTAGGCATCACTTGATAAAGTGAGAGGGCATAGACTTTGTTTCTCTGTATTCCAGAGCAATACTTGGATACCATAAGTTTAAAACCAAACCCATTTTTTTCCGCACCATCTCACCATTGTTTTAAGCAGTTTGTATCAAGGTATTTATGAATTCCAGGCATCTGCATTAAACCATTTGTAAGGAATTCTTGAAGCTCCCTACTGAAAAAGAAGCATTTTAATATTTAGGGGCAGGTCTTTAAAGCAGAACGCATGTGCATGTCTGTGCATGCTTACCTGAGCATGTACAAATGAGCATGTGCCTTTTTGATCTCACAGACATATAAATACATGGCTATTGTTGCCAGTGCCAGAGAATGGTGTACTGGAAAATGGATACGAAACTCCATTCTTTGATCGCACTTTCAGCACTTTGAATAGTTCAGACACAGTCTAGAAATACGTAAAAATCTTGTGACATTAAAATAGATAGCAAATGCTAACACTACCACTAAACCTGAGTGGGAAATTAGGATTAGAAATCAGTTTTATGGTGAAGTGTTGGGCTTTTTCCCATTGTAAACATGTTCAAGCTGCTGTGCTATGGAACAAATCAGTGTTTTAGGAATTTGATATAGTGACTGCTTGAGACAGTGTGACTAAACACTAAGAAAATTTTGTAGTTGAGTCATATTTTTATGGACTAGGAAGCTCTTATTTTGTAAGATCAGACTTGTACATATTGTACTGTGTGATATTTATAACAGTAGATCTTTCTTATTTGTTTAGTTTGTAAAGACTTGTGAAGCTGACTTTTAGACTATTTCCACTTGATCAGGATGTTTAGACTTAAGAAGAAACTGTCTTTTATGGGTAACTTGAACAATGATTAGATATGAAAACTTGTGCTTCAAACTGTTTTCATCTCTTTAGGAGTAGTAAATTGAGAACCAATTTTTAATAGAATTCATAGAAATTTTATAATGGTGGAGGTTTTTTTACACCTCTAGAAATAATTTAGTCTGTGATTTGTGATTCAATGGTGCTAGTTTATCAAAGGAAACAACTCAGCATAAGTTCTCTGACTAGTTGCATTCCACTTTCTCTGTTTTCAATGCTGCATTTGAACATGTTTCTTTAAATAAAATTTTGGAGACTCTTTGTCTACTTGTGTGTAACACTTATTCTGTCTTCCTTAGCTGTTTGCAGTAACAAGATAAGTGTGTATTGCATTAGTAACTTCTGCACTGAATGTGTTCTGATTCCCAGTCTGAGAACGAGCAGGTAAACATTTCATGAACACTGAAACAGAAATAATGATAGAAAATTTGCTGCTTTAGTACCACATTAGAATGTGTAACTTCTGGAAACATTTTCTTTCTAAGAGGCTAGCTCTGTGAGTCATCATACATGTTTGTGTGCTGGAGGGCAAACAGGAAGAGAGAATCTGAAAGTTGAGCTTGCTTTGTATAAATTATATGAACTGGACCATTTGTCCAACATAAGCGCTGAATACTCCCAAGAGCTGTTAAACTGTCTGCAAAAGGCAGCCACAATTCTTCAGGGTGTTATTTCTTGGAGCTTTGATGCTGTTTGACCATTTGCAGGAATGATGCTGACGTGCAGAAAATATTACCATGGGCACATCATTGGTGTTTCAACTGTGTTATATAAAAACTTTGAACCCTTAACAGCTTCTGCAACTGCCAGTCTTGGTGTCTTCAAAAGCCTGTGCTAGAATAGCATCTAACCTTTCATCTTCTTCTGAAGACTGACCATAGAAGTGTTTTGTTTTGATTTCCTTGTGCAGAAAGATCCCCTTTGTCATAGGGGTTTTGAGATGATTCAGCCATGAATTGGAGAACATGAGAATTTGGATGGATTTCTCATTTGTTGGGCTCAAAGAAACATTGAGATCCTAGATATTAACGGATATTGCAGCTGTTTTCCAAACTTCTAGCTTAACTTTTTTGTAGAGCAGCAAAAATGCACTGATTTTATGGACTTTTGGTTGCTGGTCAACTACTAAGCATTCTACCTGAAGCCTCAAGTAGACCTTGGGGTTTATCCCCCTAGGTGAATCAGTCAAGTTGGATGCCAGGAAATGTGTTATTCTATACAGTTATGCATCAAGAAGAAAGTGAGACAGATGCAGAAACATCAAATTCTATTAATAGCTGCAGTTCCTCAGATTGACGCAGATGTCAAATGTTTGTCTTTTCTGGTTGTCTAATCTCAATCAATGCTGCTGTGTTGAAGGGTGTCCCTAATATGGTGATAACAGTGAATATGAAGTATTGCTATCCTCTAGCCATAGCTCTCTTTATGCTTATAGAGGCATGGAAACTGGTATTTCAGCCTTCATTTCCGTTCTGTCTTCCTCAGCCTTTGCTTCACAGTTACCTGTAAACTTCTGTGGTGTTTAAGGAGGGTGGAAAACTGGGTGTAGGAATACATTGTGCTCTTTCTAGCATTGTTTGTGCCAAGCACTCCCCCTGCTGTCACTCCTTACTGCACAGTCTCTGAACAAAGAAATGATCCTTAACATAATACTTTCAAGGAAATCAGTGTGGTGCTGAGTGACTGATAAAGAACAAACAAGTATGCAGTATATAATGGAGGATCGCACACTGAATGTAACCCTTTTACATAGAGAAATGGGTAAGAAAAGAGGTGTGTGGCCATACCGGAGTGTAACAAGGTAAAAGAAACAATGCACTTAATAGTTGTTGATGTTTTGTCTTTATCAGGTTTTTCTTCTGGCATCCAGTCTATAATAGTTTGTATGATCAAAGCCATGTGTGTACAGTATAGTGAAAAGGCACCAACATTACTTTGGCTGTTTCCAGTTGTTGCTCTTCCTACCTGCTTTTGTCCTTCCTTTGAAGAAGAAATAAGGTTACATGAAAATTAGCAGGTAACTTTTCCTGTTTCTAGGGAAATGCGAATCATTGTGGTGTATTCTTACGGTTTGATGGTTTGCTTATTTTAAACATATGTATGCTTTGCTGTCAATAGAACTTCTCCAGAACTCCAACAAGAATTAATACCTTCATAATATTGCAGCATCTCTGCTGTCCAGAGGGCTTTTGAATATCCCTAAGGGTTGAGACTTGACAAATTCTCTTGGCAACCTGTGCCAGTACTCTTGTCACCCTCACAGTAGGGAGGGAGAGGGAGTTACTTTACGTTCAGGTGGAAACTTCTGTGTTTCAGTTTGTGCCCACTGCATCTTGTCCTGTCACTGAGCATCACGGAAATGATAGATTTCTTCTTTTCACTCTCCCTTCATATATTTATACACATTGATGAGATTCTACCTGAACTTTCTCTTCTCTGAGCTAAACAGTCCCAGTTCTCTCAGCCTTTTCTCATGTAAGAGATACTCAAGTCCCTTAATCATCATGGCCCTTCAGCAGGGACTTTCCAGTATTTCCATCTCTTTTGTACTGTGTGTGATAAAAAGCATTGATAGCTGTTTCAGCCGAAATGGCCTTCCAATATGGTCAGGGCAGTGGTAAGAAACCTAGATTGGGGAATTTAAGGAAAATCTGAAGCTAAATTTTTGAAGGTACAGAAGGGCGAGATTCTCCATATCATTTAGGTGGTTAAAGATGCAAAAGGTGTCTTTTCATATTTTTGTGCTATTGTTATAAATAATTTTTCTTTTTTCCTGTAGTAGTCAGTGTGAACAAAAACTAACTTACTAGGATGATAGCACCTGCTTACCTGTATATTCAAGGTTCAATGGATGGGCGTTACCAAATCTGTAAGGCTAAAAGAAGAAAAAAAAGCTGATTATCCTTCTGTATATGCATAGTTCATTAAGATATCATCACTTCTAAGCAATATACTCAGAGGATCTGCAGCTATTATCAGGTTTTAAAGTTTGACCTCATTTATGATTCAGTTTGCAGTTGTGAGTGGATTTATATTTGGACTAAGGTCATAAATTTAACTACCTGAACAATGGAAAAAGGAATTGGTGTGAATTTATTGATCCTGGAATTGATGAATACTCTTTCTATAGGGGTGGATTGATGAATTAGACCTACCAACTGGGAAGCGTTGACTTGTGTTGTTGCACAATTTAATCAAATGATAGAGCAGAAAAAAAAGCTTCTGCTTTGAAGAAGTTTGAGATCTTGTTGTTACCTTGAAACTGATGCAGGAGTAGGATGTTTTGTTTGTTTGCTAAACACAGTATTTAGAAACTGATGTTTAAACATGTTGAGTGCTTGTAGTGTGAGTGAAATGTATGTAGTGTTTCCTCATAAAATTCATCTTATTTTTCAGGGCAGTGCTTCTGCCTCCACCCCCCTTTGTTTCAGCTCCGATACATATAATGGCTTCGGTTTCAAATGCTCCGTGGACAATATGAATGCCAAATGGCTTGGTTTGAGCTGTCATATTTTATTTTTTTATTTGGGAGTGGCTGAGAAGGCATCTAAATGCAAAACCTTCGTGCGCAAAGTAGTACAGAAAGAAGGTTCTCTTTGAAAATGCTGCGTAAGAGATTTCAAGAAAGAAAGAGGATGCCCTCTCGTGGCGGTTTTCTGTTGTAATAAAATGGATTTGTGTAAATTAGACTAGGAAAAAGTATGCCTTTGCTCTGAAATAGCAACACTGTGGAAAAACAGAGTTAAAGCTAGGTAAGTTGTAGATGAAGTGCATCCTGCAGTCTGAAAAAAAGGCCTCCTCCATGGTTTAAGAGAATGGTTGTTTATTTATTGAAGATAATCAAAA